TCAACTATATGTCATAGTCTTCTTCCTAAACTATCCATTGAAATTATATTTGTAAAGCCTCTCAAAATTTTTGGATTCTCTTTAACAACAAAAATATTGCTTTATCTTTATTGTGTTAAAAGATGGTACAAATAAACAAAATATAAAACCATACACAAGGTGATAATCTCTATATGTTTGACTTCTACATATTTGTTTCATTAGAAGTTAGTTACGAATTTCTTTCTAAGCCTTTATAGAATCATACTCAGAATATTCTAGATGTTCCATATCCTGAATAGAGTAATGGCTTTCTAGTACTCTGAAAATCGCTCTCAGGCCTAGGGAAATTTTCTGTGGTGGTATAGAGATTTTAACAAAGTGCACTCTAACAGCATCTTAACATGTGTGATGAAACAAAAACTATGCACACGTTTAGCTGTTATATGCAGGAAAGGGCAGGCAGACTGATGTTCATGAGCAATTAGCAACGTAAGCAGCAATATTTGTTCTAAAAGTTCACACGATCCTTCTCAACCCCAGCAGAAAATATTAATTAATTAAAAGCAACCCCTAGATATGCTCAAGTGGGATTAACAAGATTTAAATGAATAATAACATGAATTATTTCACATGCAAACCTTCATGTGAGATACTCATTCTTGGGAACAATAATTGGATCTGAAATCCAAAGGCCTGGCTTTAACTCCTCTGTGGAATCCTGCTAAACCTGGACCTTTCCACCTTAAGATAATAATGCTATGACATTGATTTTGTGCACATGGGTAGTTTTGCTCACTTCTAAACCCAATAAAACCCACAGTCTTACCCAGGGACAGACCCAGTGACCCAGAAAAATCAGATTTCATGCGGCCACTGAAAGAATGCAACTTAAATCTGAGAATAACCAAAATGCTTAAAACTCAGCATGTTGTGCTCCCATCGAAAAGCAAGATGGGGGAAAAAATGTATAAATAGAAAGAAAAATAGGGAAAGGGACAAGGAGAATTTATGTTCTGTAAGTACTGGGATGAAGCTCCCTACCTCTTTCCATTGCTGTTCCACAGCACTGCTTTTGCCAGGACTGGAGACTTGGTTTCCAGCTCTTGAACCTCCTCCAGCAACGCCTTTTTGCAGATGTGCTTGGCCTTGTATTATGAGGAAAAAACAAAAGGAACATGACATAAGAACTTGACACAGCTGAAAAGAGAGGTTACTCCCATCTCAGGCCATACCGAAATGCCCTTTGATAGAGGTCGAGGCTTCAGAAGTGGTGTAGCATGTACAGTTTCCATGCATGACTTGTAATCCATCTCCATAGCCTGGAGGCATCCCAAGTGCTGCAGACCAGACCCGGACAATAAACATTAAGAGTCACCACCACCCCAAAAAGAACTAGAAGTCTGTAGATCTACTGAAGTCTGTAGATATACTGAGGAACCCAGTCATTCAAAGACAGGTTGAGGTTCACAAAGACCCAGGGTCTTCCTCTAAAGCTTTTCTTTGCAGAATCTGAAAACCCAGAAGATGCTTTAAATCCTCACCCTAGGGAAGAGACACTGGTTCCCTGGTCCCTGGTCTGATGGCAGTAAGAGAGTCTAGGAGTTAGCCAGTTTTCTCCCTCCCTTTTTCATGTGAAAAGAGCCATTGCCACAGCAGCCATGGACTTAGGATGCTAGGGTGCATGGTCTGGATGCAAAGCCTTTGGCCTGAAATGTGGTGTCAACACAAATACAGAGCACAGATTTTTCATTTTCCTCTGGTGATGACTCATCATTCGGGACCACACATATAGGCTCTGATGGCATACAACAACTTATGAAATAACCCTCAGCCAGGGAAGTTCACTGTTCTGGAACCGTAGGAAGTGTTCCTGTACCTTTTCTTTTCTGATTAAACTGATCAATACCTTACAATATTCAAATAATTGGCTAATCTCATGGTTTTTCCAAAATTGAGAATGAACAAAGCTAAAATTGATCTACTATTGAAAACAATCTAGGAGAAGAAGAGACATTTAACAAGATATAGATTATATAGGAGGAAAAAACTGTAAAGAGAATAGGTTCATGATTTAGTAACACCTCAGGGTAAAAACCTTTGCATTGGTTTAATTTCAACATAAACACATGTGAGAATCCTGCTGGGTAACAGAACTCAAAGATAAAATGAGAACAAAAACTGAGCACCTTTTCCCCAAAATAAAAAGTGTCAGGAGGACCGGGCGCCAGTGGCTTATGCCTGTAATCCCAGCACTTTGGGGAGGCCAAGGTGGGCAGATTGCGAGGTCAAGAGATCAAGACCATCCTGGCCAACACTGTGAAATCCCATCTCTACTAAAAATACAAAACTTAGCTGGGTGTGGTGGTGCATGCCTATAGTCCCAGCTACTTGGGAGGCCAAGGCATGCAAATCACTTGAACCTGGGAGGCGGAGGTTGTAGTCAGCCGAGATTGTGCCACTGCACTCCAGCATGGGTGACAGTGGGAGACTCTATCTCAAAAAAAAAAAAAAAAAAATGTCAGGAGAACATTCTGAAGACATGGGCCACTTCTGCAGAATCTCATCCTACCCCTACCCACCCTCCACTTTCAATAAAAGAAAGCATGTTAAGGTAATATGAGTTATCTCCCGACATTGTGAGTTAATCCATCATGGAGTATTAGTACTGAGACACTGTATATGTGCCTGGAATCCTTTCCCCCAAAGTAAACAAGAGAAGGCCACACAGGCTTTAACACATAATACCTTAATTCCATCAAATAGTATTCTGTGACTCAGGATAGATTAAATACTGCAGGTCAAAGCAGAGCCTGTGGAATTTTAATTTAAACAATAAATGAGAAAATGTCTTTTGTTGGAAAAGAGACAGCCAAAAAGGATGTTAAAATATACCCTGTTTATTATGAAATATTTGGGAACTCAAACACTGCCTTTTATCTTATGGACTTCTGGAGCTAAACTGACAAGGCTACTGAGTGTGTTCCCCACCTGCTGTGAGCCACCAGCTTGCACAGGTACCAGGAGAACATTCTGGCTACTCCTTAATAACTAGCATTTGTCTTTCTTCCAGGATACCTCTTCCTACCATCATCCTTCCTCTCCTTACCTCTGTACCCTTTCCCCTGCACAGGGGAAGAAAAGCACCTATTGTTGTCTCCTAATCTGGGAAAAAAGGAGGTTTCTGAGGAAGCTGAAATAGGAAGTCTGGGCCCTGAAAATCTACAGCGTGGCTACAGACCAAGAAAAAAAGAGAACCCGATCCACCATAGAAGCTGCCAGTTTCCACTTATTCAATACAAGGTCTCAGAGGGCAATGGTCTGAGCATCTCTATGCTCCCAGGCATTGTGCATGGTCTCAGTGGATGAAACTGCATTCATATCTTAGAGTTACTCAGCAATTTATTAATATTTCCACTAGGCTAGCCCCTGTGAGCTAGCCTGGAGACTTTGTTGCTATTAGCAAACACTGTATTGCAATGCTGGGGATGATTCACCTTCTTTCTGCATGTAGCACTTGAGTAGAAGAGGTGCTGATGATTTAAAACAGTGTTCTCAAGCATTTTTTATCTCATAAGACCTGAATTAGGAAAAAAAAAATGATTCTAAAATCTTTCTTGTTTAAAGTCTACATGAGAGTGGCCTAAAATTAATATTAATATTTATAGGTTATAAAGTGAGTTGCTAAGGATTAGCCACTGCCATGTCACTTAAGTCTCACCAGGAGTCAGGATTTTGTGTGTTCTGCATCACAACTTTGTAAGCCCCATTATCTGTAACTGGCTTATCCCCCAGTGGTCCAGGGCTTGCTTCCTCTAACCCCCATCTGTCAAGAGGACAGATGATCACTGAATGGACAAAGTGGGCTTGTTGGCTACTGACACATGAGTATGAGACTTGTGACTCTTCAGATATACCTAAGAGGGTCTCCAGGTTGTTAGGGACTTTTAAAAGAAATAGATTGATTTGGGATTTTTACTTTCCATCTTTTTGTTTCAGAAACTTTTTTCCTGGACTCTCTTTGCTTGCAAATATAGCCAGTCAAAGTGTTTAATTCTAAATGTGGATGAAAATGTGAATGGACTTCAAAATAAATTAGTTTAGTTAGAAAGTTAAAGAAAATCAAGGCCTATTTATATATAGAAATAGCTCATTACCTCTTATTTCCATTTAACTGCCTATCTGGGATTATAAGAAGAAAATAAAGGCCAGGCGCAGTGGCTCACGCCTGTAATCCCTGCCCCCTCCCCCCGCCCCCAAGTACTCTGGGAGGCAGGAGTTCGAGACCAGCCTGGCCAATGTGGTGAAACCCCTTCTCTACTAAAGAATACAAAAATTAGCCAGTTGTGGTGTCACATGCCCATAATCCCAGCCGCTCAAAAGGCTGAGGCAGGAGAATCACTGGAACCTGGGAGGCGGAGGTTGCAATGAACTAAGATTGTGCCACTATATTCAAGCCTGGGTGACAGAGTGAGACTCCATCAAAAAAAAAAATAAAATAAAATAAAAAAAGGAAGGAAGGAAAAGAAAGTCATTCTAGAATTGGAGACTATATTGTTTGAAGCATGGTAAAATACAGGAGATACAGTTAGATAAATGAAAATAGGGTTCTCTGTATTCAGTGGTCTGGAGTTTATATTATTTTTATAAAGGAATACTAACAAATTTCTCCTAAATGAGAACTGGTACATGGTAGCTTACCTAAGAATGCTGTCATAGGCAAACATTTTCTGTGAACATAAAGTAAGGGATTTTAAAACAGTCCTGAGTAATTTAAACTTCATACTTCTAAGACAAATATTCATTAGCTAAGTATCACATATAATCAATCAATTATTTTCATAAAAGATAGGTTAGTTTGGTTCCTCATGAAAATTCTGGTTAAGAGGATAATAGTGTAGGCATTTTATGGAGTTCCAAATCTGGAGTTAATTAGTGTAATAATAATGGATCTGCATCCAGAAAGTTGACTTCATGAAAAAAGTGACTGAATTACCTCATTCTGGTTCTCTTTCTTTCAGGATTCCAGGTCCTGAAATGCAAGTGAGAAACTGGGCAAAAAAATAGAGAAGGTGCAGAAAGATGGAGCAGCTCAGTTTCTTAAGTGCTCACAAAAATATATATGAAAAGGTAGGCCTGCCTTGCACTGGAATTTAAAGCTCTTTCAAAAGAGTGATGGCCATGAAAATTTAAAACAAAACAAAATATCCGTAAGATTGACCAAAGGTGACTGGGTGTGGTGGCTCACACCTGTAATCCCAGCAGTTTGGGAGGCTGAGGTGGGCGGATCACAAGGTCAGGAATTTGGGACCAAACTGATCAACATAGTGAAACCCATCTCTACTAAAAATACAAAAAATTAGCAAGGTATGGTGATGTGCGCCTGGAATCCCAGCTACTCCAGAGATTAAGGCAGGAGAATTGCATGAACCCAAGAGGTGGAAGTTGCAGTGAACTGAGTTCATGCCATTGTACTCCAGCCTTGGTGACAGTGAGAGACTCTATCTCAAAAAAAAAAAAAAAAAAAAAAAGGGAAAGAAAGACTGGCAGAAGGCAAGATGAAAGAATAGCAGCATCACCTTGGAAGCTCCCTACTATCACCGTGTGTTGCCATCACAAAATAAGACCTTCAGCTGCTCCTCAAAATGAAGCTGCTCCCCAGTTCCCTCTCACTACTGTAAACCTATTCTGGGAACTTTAAGGTGCATATTATAGCATATTGCGCCTCAGCAGATATTTGACAACTTATATCCAATGATGGGTGGTTGGGGACAGTCAGGATTAATATTTTTCTTCAGTGTATGAGAAGAAAAAATCAACATGTTTTCTAAAGCTGCAATTCAGAAAGATAAATCACAGTGAAGCACCGTAGCCTTCTCAGAGGAAAACAATTTACAACATGCCTTTTCTCCTTGGGAGAAGCCTTTTAATTTACTTGCCTCAACAAATATTTTTGGCTTGGAGTATAATATGAGACATAATATGGGCCTCATGATCAAAGAAAAAATGTCCAAATAAACTCACCAAATTCTTGTTTTTGAGCAGAGGGGTGAGTGTAGTTTAGATATTAAATAGATATTACATATTGAATATATATGTACTTTCGGCAAATATTGCAGGTGACAGTCAATATAAACTCTCTTCCCCTCTCCCCTCAATGAAACAAGACAAAAATGCCTTTCAGAATGTGCCTCTGGACTTCAGTAGGTGTCTTTCTGACTGAGTCCAGAGATGAGATGCTGTGGACTCCTGGAAATAGCTGAGTTTGGGGGCTGTGATGCCAGGCGGTGGGCAGAAGCTTTTTTCTGTGGGCAAGACTAATCCATGTTTATTTAAAACTAATTTATCTCTGCAAAACTGAACAAATTCAGGAAGGGAATATGTTGTGTCACAATTGGGCATATCAGCTGAAAAAGAAAATAACAGAACTAATATTTCATACAGTATATCCATTAGATTAAGAAAATAGTTTTTCTGTCTATAACTTTTTTATTTCCAAAGGATTCTGACTCTGCTATTTTCAGAACATGGTTTTACCAAAGAAAATGGAAGTAGTGGTCAATCAAAACATTTAAGAAATTAAAATGATTTAATTTTTATGAGCAGTTAAAAAACTTAGTGAATGGGTGAAAAAAAAACAAGAAAATGTGGCTGTAATATTCTTTCTCCCCTCTCTCTTTGCATTAGATATCATTGGTTGTCAAAATAATGCCAAAATGAAGACTTTCACAAAAGACATCCTTGACTGTCAGACAAGAAAAATTCTTAATGAGTGTAGGAAAAAATGGTGAGATAAAAATGAAATCTGATGTCTTTTCCTGGAATGATTGAATTAAAGTCTCAATTATCAACCTTGGGAACCCAAAATAATTGTGTTTGCCAAAGTAAGGCTAAGCTCAGAGTCTCAAATTTTTTTTTGTTTGTTTGAGATGGAGTCTTGCTCAGCCGCCCAGGCTGGAGTGCAGTGGTATGATCTCAGCTCACTACAACCACCATCTCCTGGGTTCAAGCAATTCTCCCTTCTCAGCCTCCAGAGTAGCTGGGATTACAGGGACCAGACATTACACCTGGCTAAATTTTGTATTTTACTAGAGACAGGGTTTCACCATGTTGGCCTGGCTGGTCTTGAACTCCTGACCTCAGGTGATCCACCCACCTGAGCCTCCTAAAGTGCTAGGATTACAGATGCCACTGTGCCCAGCCCAGAGTCTCAATTTTCAAGGAAGTTGCCACCTATTTGCAGGAGAAATTGGGACCACCCAAAACAACAATCATTATTATGTTTTTCAAGCAGCCCCTCCTTTTGCTCATGGATAAAATTAAAATTTACATGATCTTGGAAATTAGCCACTGCATTTACTTTGTACACAAGATATCTTGGAAATAACATGTTTTAGAACATAAAAGCAAAAATTGAGTAGTATTTTCTATTTTACCTACATAAATAATGCCATCTTTGTGACTGATTTGCTCATAGATATGTGAGCTACCTCTCTAGAAGAATTTATTGTAAGTATTTCTATTTTGGGATATTTGGAAAAATGAAGAATACTTCACTCTTCTAATTTGAAATGCCTTAACCTATACACAGTTTTTCTCAAGCATGGGATGTGAAGCCAGGCCATATTTGTGACCTGTTATTACGAATAAGGCTGCTATGAACAAGCTTCTACAAGTCCTTTTTTGTGGACGTGTTTCCAATTTTTTTAAATGTAAACAACTGGAAGTGGGATTGCCCTGTTATTTGGAAAGACTATGATTAGCTTTATAAGAAACAGCCAAAGAGTTCTCCCAAGTGGCTGAGGACAAAGTAAATGCACATGCATTCCAGTTGCTTCAGATCCTGGCCAGCATTTGGTATGGCATCTTTCTGATGTGAGCCACTCTAGCGGCTCACAGGGAAATGGGGTTTTGCATGAGATGGAACTACTCTGATGAACTTTCCCACCACCTATGAGCTATTTAAGACTAAACCTACATGAGAGGCGTTGCTCTCTAATGACTCGCAGGACAGCCCAAGGTTACAAGCTTCAGAAAGAAGGCTGATCTGGAGGCAGTGAATTATCTCAACTGATTGTTCACGGTCAATTACAGATTCAACTCCTCCTTCTATTCTTTCCCTACTTCTCAATACTGCACCTGAGTAGTCTTTAAACACAATGTTTTTACTTAAAAAAAGAAGCTCCAGAAAGGAAATTTTGGAGCAAAAAAAGGTCTCCCTTTCCCTCCAGAACACAAATAGTGAGGTGTGTTTTGTTTGAGTTGGTGGCAACATTTAAATTCTTATTTTTCCCCCAGGAGGTAAGGAGAAGACATTTTTCAATTTTCCCAAACGGGGTATTAGGAAGTAAAGTTCTGTGAGAGAAAGGCAAGACCCTTAAACCTGTCAAATTATTAACTAATTTTTCTTCTACAGATAGTGATTATTTGAATTTTCTATCTTTCTCTTTAGCATCCAATTTTAGAGACCAAATGGTTGGTCCAACCAAATAGTTATTTTGGGTCATCCAGAATGACCCCTTGCATTTCACCCTTCAGTAACTTCCTGAAGCTCTTATCTGGATGTAAAAACAGGGCATTTTCTACACCATTCTCCACAGGGTGTGATGTAAGAAATTGAGGCAGGGAAACAGCATATTGCTGCTGAAACATGTGACTCTATTTCAAGGTGAGAATAAAACAGGTTAAAACTGGTACTGTGTGGTTTAAAGATAAGCAGCCTGTACTGTCTTTTATTTTCAGAAACAACATAATTAAATACTGAAGACAATGTGAAGTCTCTATCTTCTCTGTTTTGGGGACAATTGTCTGGCAGGAGCCAGAAGAAGGGTTGCAAAGGCACCCAGATGCCACCCAGAGTTCCCAACGTGACTCTCCTCTGGCAGAGGTAAGACCACAGCTTCCAGAAACTATGCTCAGGGCCTGTGTGTCTGTGGCATATTGTTTATATTGTGTGTTTATAGGCAATTTTTACAATCACTATTTCTGGATTGCAATCCTCTAGATTTCTAGATTGCAACCCTCCTGAGACACTGTGCTGACACAGAAGTTATTCCTCTTCCTGAAAAGAAAAATTAGAGGTCTAACCACCACAAAACCCCTGATAATTCAGAATATTAGCATCAATGTCAGAGCACAGTATTTAGGACAGATACTGATAAAGATAGGACAGATGACTACCTTGCCTTGTCACCACCTGAGTGAGGAGCCCTTAAAAGATGGATTCCCTCCCCATGGTTATGGCCTGTCGGCCTCTGCATTTGGAAGGTGCAAGGACCCAGGACTGGGTTGAGGCACAGCTAAAGCTGTTTTCTTGGCCCTGCACAGCAAAACCCTGGAATGGATAAATACCATTTCATTTCATTCATTCGCTGTTGGCTGTAGTACCTGAACACATGCCCTGTGGCATCATCTGTGAGTTACCCACACTTCCCACAACAGATGCATAGGGAGAAGGTACTTTACCCACCCCTCCTGTGACAGAAAAGGATGAAGTCAAGGGCCTGGTGGAGGCACCACTAAGAAAGGGCATCTGAAAGGACCAGAGTGACCAGCAAGGTTTTTTTTGCAAGGCTGAGGAGCTGAGAGCTTCCATAAAAGGCTGGACCACACAGTGGTGAAAAGCATCATTTGGGTTACATATGGGCTGCCATAAAACACACCAGAGACTTGGTGACTTAAACCACAGATAGTCATATTTTCACAGTCCTGGAGGCTGGAAGTCTGCAATTAGGGTGCCAGCATGGTCAGGTTCTGGTGAGGACTTCTTTCCATCTCACTGTGTGCTCTTTCTTGTGCATGGAGAGAGAGAGCATGTGTGAGCCCTCTACTATCCTTTCTTAGAAGGGCACTAATCCCATAATAAGGGCTCCACCCTCCTGACCTCAGCTAACCCTAATTATCTGCCCAAGGTTCCAATCTCAGTACCATCACATTGGTGGTTAGGGCTGTAACATTGGGATATGGGGCATGACACAAACATTCAATCCAAATCAAGCGTGTTTACACTGTTGGGACTCCAATCCCACCTTTGCCATTGAGTCATTACTTAACCACTGTGCCTCAGTTTTGTCCTCTGTAAAATAAGGAAAATATACCTTGTAGGGATACTGTGAGACTGAAATTAATTACTAAATGTAACAAACTATACAAGTTCTTGGTACATGGTAAGTGCCATACGTATTACCTATAACTAACTGACTTTTTACACTACGAACCATAACCACAATTCTTATTTATTTATTTATTTATTTATTTTTAAATTTATTATTATTATTATTATTATTATTATACTTTAAGTTCTAGGGTACATGTGCACAAATTTTATGTATAGCGTGCAGGTTTGTTACATATGTATACTTGTGCCATGTTGGTGTGCTGCAACCATCAGCACGTCCACAGCACCCATCAACTCGTCATTTACATCAGGTATAACTCCCAATGCAATCCCTCCCCCTCCCCCTCCCCATGATAGGCCCCGGTGTGTGATGTTCCCCTTCCCGAGTCCCAGCCTGATCTTATTGTTCAGTTCCCACCTATGAGTGAGAACATGCGGTGTTGGTTTTCTGTTCTTGTGATAGTTTGCTAAGAATGATGGTTTCCAGCTGCATCCATGTCCCTACAAAGGGACACAAACTCATCCTTTTATAGCTATAGAAGTATTCCATGGTGTATATGTGCCACATTTTCTTAATCCAGTCCTACATGCTGATGACATTTGGTTTGATTCAAAGTCTTTGCTATTGTGAATAGTGCACGCGAAGTGAACATACGTGTGCATGTGTGTCTTTATAGCAGCATGATTTATAATCCTTTGGGTATATATACCCAGTAATGGATATTTGGAGTCATATAATTTTATCTGATTCAGATCCTTGAGAATGTCGCCATACTGTTTTCCATAATGGTTGAACTAGTTTACAATCCCACCAACAAGGTAAAAGTGTTCCCTATTCTCCTACATCTCCAGCACCTGTTGTTTACAACTTTAATAAATGGTGCACAGGAGGTAACCTTACCAAGTGAAAGCTGAAACTGGGATCCTTTCCTTGCTTACTCGCCTTATACGAAAATTAATTCAAGATGGATTAGAGACTTAAATGTTAGACCTAATACCATAAAAGCCTGGGGGAAAACCTAGGTAGTGCATTCAGGTTTTTGCACGCAAAGGAAGAAGTTCTTGGGCAAAGACTTCATGTCTAAAACACCAAAAGCAATGGCAGCAAAAGCCAAAATTGACAAATGGATCTCATTAAACTAAAGAGCTTCTGCACAGCAAAAGAAACTACCATCAGAGTGAACAGGCAACCTACAGAATGGGAGAAAATTTTTGCAATCTACTCCATCGACAAGGCTAATATCCAGAACCTACAAAGAACTCCAAACAAATTTACAAAGAAGAAAACAAACAACCCCATCAAAAAGTGGTCAAGGATATGAACAGACATTTCTCAAAGAAGACGATTCCATACAGCCAACAGACACATGAGAAAATGCTCATCACTGGCCATCAGAGAAGTAAATCAAAACCAAGTCACCCATCTCACACCAGTTAGAATCACAATTATTATTTAAACATCTTGGGTGAGGCCAACGTGTGACATGTACGATGATTTTCTGAATGAGTTTTGAGAAGAAGCATTCTCAAAGAGTGCAACTTTCTCCTGCTGTCAGAGCCTACACACCACTCTTCTCAGAGAGGTAGAAGGGTTGAGCTGTGCTATGAACTCTAAGTTACACTGGGGAACAGATGCAAGGGTGGCAGGGCAGCAAGTGTTAATAGTGATGTTGGTCCACTTTAACAGAAAGCTGACATCTCTTCATCATCCCAATACAACCATCATTCCCCTTGTGCCCAATGCCCATTGACTGCTTTCTATTTATTAATTGATGCAGATAAACTTTCTCTTACAATGGGGTGGCAAGCCATTACTTCTGCTTATCTCCACAGGCATATCACTCAGGACCACCTCAGATATTGCTCTTTGATCATGTGAAGGATGTTCACCAGCAATTTAGTACCCAAATAGACAAGAAAGGGTGATGATCACTCATGAAAAGTGTTGTTCACATACCTGCATATCAAACTGCTGAACTGCTGCACCTGCCTAGTCCCGGGGCCCCAGGAAGAAGCGGGTGATTCTCAGCCTAAGTTGTGCTTCAGAGCCTCAGCTCTTTCTGCAGGAGCTGGGGAAGAATGGGAGCCACCTCTGTTACACAGACTGGAACTGTCAGAGCCATTTGCTTATCTTATCCTTATCACTGAGAAAAATTCAGCTGGCAGTCCTGAGAGCATCTTTGGCACTCAGGCTTTTGCAACCTCCCAGATGGCAGGAATCATAAACTAGAGACATCCAGTCATTGTTGTTGCTGTTGATAAAGACTCCTCCCACCCCAATGGTGAGCCCCCACAAAGTGCTAAAGACAGAGCAAATTACACACACAGGGGCCTAACGGCAGTGTGACTCTGCAGGGAGGACAGGAATTTTTTTGCTCTACTTTTCATTGGAATTAATGAAAATGTACAGAATAGAAGTCACAGAATGTGCCCTTTTTACAAACATATCCTGAATATGAGCTATTTTATCTCTGAAAAGTTCCTATCTAACACTTAGCCCAGGGCATTCAGAATACTTTTAAAATGGTAGTATGACCTGAAGATTCATGGATCTAAATTAGAGTACTACCTTTGGGTAGTTGCACAAGCCAAATGATGATCAAGAGATCAGAATACATCCTGGATCTTCAATCTCACCCAAAGAAGATTTGGAAAACTTATATCATTTTATATTAAAACCAATAACATTTTTCAGAATACATTTGAATAATTTATTTTACACAAAAGCAGAGTCTTTAAATAAATATCATTGTTGGGAATGCAATGCCATAGGATACATACTGGGAGTGTCTTCTCTTTCTCTTACCCTGTTAGAGGCATTTCAGGGCAAGTTTGTGGGCATGGAGATTAACAGTCATCAATGCACTGCTGGGTTTAAAAATGATTTACATCAATCAGCAGAGGACCTCCACTGGTGATAGCATCATCAGGAGCTGAGGATGTTCAGGTAGACATGGAAGGTTTTGAATCCCCAACCTTGAATAACATTATGACTGTGCTTATAGCCAGGCTTCCCCACTTGTGATGAAACTGCTGTGCCGGATCAAGGTTGTTTCCTTCCATGCAGTGGATTGCTGAGAGGTGCTTTTCAAGGATTGTATCTCAGGGTGGGGATGTGAGAATGGCTCACAGGAGAGAGATATCTCTTGGGGACATGACCATTGAGAAGCTTTCTTAGCCTCACTGAATAGCAGTGCAAATAGACTGGGGGAGGAGGTACAATGGCAGGACTCACAGGGACGGTCTCAGCAGTGGAGCATGTGGTGGCAAGAGGAAGGACTTAAGATTCAGATGGACCTTGCTTGGAACTGTGCTTCTGTGCCTTAGACTGCAACACCCAAAAAGAAAGGTCAATTATATAACCCCTACTGGCCCTCTAACTCCCTCTGTAAAACCAAGACAGCAGTAGAACCTGCCTCACAGGGCTGCCCTGCCTAGCATAGTTAGCTGTGCTCCTACTTCCACACGTTCCATTTCACAAGAGAGCCAAGCCATGGAGCAGAAACCTTCAAAACTGAGCATTTAGCTGCTTCCTTCCTCAAATTCTACTTCTCTACCCACAAATATCTGTACAGTGCCTTGCACACTGATCTTAAAAAACTCAGTTCTGGCTGCTTGGCAAATCCTTAGCTGGAGCCAATAAGGTAGAGGCTAGAACACTGTACCCAGGAATCTGACCCCTGCAGGCTGGCCATGATCCCATCCCTCAGGCAGCCTTTCCAGGCAGAAAATCAGGAGCTGTAATGAGACATTTCCTAATGTTTCTTCTT